TTCTTATTATTATCAATTTTGTATTAAAGAATAATTTTACAAAGGAAAGAAACATATATGGACATATTTTGCATATAATTATATATAATTATATATGAAACTTTTTTTCCCGAGTTATTAGAAAAATATATAAATATGTAGTTTCTGCAGTAAAAAAATAATAATAGTTAATTAACGTTATTATAATATTCAAGAATTTTAAAATGAAATCTAATAAGTAAACTTAACTATAAACACTGCGCTTGTATATTCTAAAATTTAAAAAAACGCGAAAAATGTATTATAGTTTAAATAGATTTAAATAATACAAATAAGCATTTTATAATATATAAAAAATAATCGTTTTAAATGTCTATTATATTTTTATTATATTTTCACAAATAATTTAGATTATTTATAAATTATTCTATTAAATGAAACATGGTATTATTACTTATATATATCGACAGTTGTTTAAACAAATTCGAAGGTGTTATAATTTGATGATATGTTACAATTAAGTTGTTAATGATATTATTCAAGCTTAAAAAAAAGCATAAACGTGTCATCAATCTTCATTTTCATACAAATAAGTTTTGTTTTCTGTTTTTGCATGTATGTATAATTATATTCTTCATAGTTACATTCATAGTTACATCAGTTACAGAACCTTGCAACATGATCAATCGCACGTTTAACTTGACCTGTTGTACTTGGTCAGAGAGCACGGTCATGTCCGTCGATTGATTAGTATTATCAGATATTCGATAGAAATTGGACTTCGTGCTAATCGTGAAAATCGTAGTCAAATATTGATTGGAAGATACGGAAAATGCGCACATCAGCAGCGATTTGAGGATAAGAAGCGGAAGATGAAGAACTTTCAACTCATACTTCGTGCCCCTAAGCTTATATTAAGGGATACAATAGATAATCATTAAATAGCTCGAGAAAGAAAATTGATAAATATTATATTTCGGACGCTAATAGATACAATTTCAGAAATGTTATCTGAATAGAAAATTTTACGAAAGAAAGATATAGGCTCTCATAATTATATAAATATTATAAATTCATTTTTTCTATACGCTTATATTATATATAAGCAATTTTCATATTCGTATAAATGATGGCGATTTATTGTGGTCTATTAATTAAAGTTAATAGTGACCAATAGACAGAATAAATAATAATAACCGAAAATATCAATATTTATTTTATGTTATTCTCGTTTATAATTCAGTGAAGAGAATTCTGATACTATTTGATACCAAGAATTTGTGATACCATTTGCAGGATCTGCGGTATTATATACAGTGTCAAAATGTTGTTTATGTATTTATTATTTGTCTTTTTAATGGGATTACACTTATTATGACAATACAATTCTGTATGTGTTACTACTTTAGATATATGTCTGAAATTTTCGGCTCTATAGAAATACATACCTATGAAGAAAGAAGAGAAATGGGCTAAATACAAAGGTCTTCATCTGTATAAATCTCGCACGCTAAACTGATCAAGGATTATCATTATAAATTTAAAATCCTGATTAGTGTTTTTGATATACCATCAGATCATTCCAATTTAAAATCTGTGGAATCCCTTGCGATCGCATGTAAAAAACTGCCCTCAAATCTATTCTGATTTGTCAAATATCTTTAAAATTCTGTATACTTACCTAGAGAGATACTTACTTAGAGAGTAATATGAGAGAATTTATGGCAATAAGTTATCAACGCGGTTCAAAATTCTACCACGATTCGATTTGAGGATCACAATGTAGATTGATAAATAATAATAGTATGTATAAATAATAATGATAGATGAATAATGACAATTGCGGTAAAAATTTGCTACGCTATCGAAAATCCACATGTAAAATCGAATGTAACAAAAAATGATCCTGTTACAAACACTGCAACACAATAAAAATTTTAAAATTGAGAAGGCATTTTATTTTCTTAACTAATTCAATTAAGTAATTAATTTTTTTAATTTTTTTTGATATCGCATATTGTATCAATGCAGATTACAAATTTCGATAATACATGATACATACATACGTACTTTGATAAAATTAGTCAATTGAGATACCGCCACTCTTAAAATTTCAAGGCCTCGACTGATAATGAAAGATTATATCTGCAAATTCAATGGGCTTGATATCGTAATTATCCATAATTTTGATAAAAAGTTTTTAGTTTATGATAATAAATATTTAATTTATTTTTGTAGTTTAAGTCGTGAAAAGCGCAGCGTTTTAAAACAAACTCAGCGTTTTGTTCTTCTCTCCTTCTGCTATCAGAATAAAAATAAAAATAAAAAATAAAAAAGCTAAATTAGAAGTTACACACACACACACACACACACACACACACACACAATATAAGTATTTAACTTGAAAAGCTGTAATTTTATCGGAATGAATAATAATCCATAAAACGCTGAGTTGAATTATGACTACAGCAATGCACAATTTTATAATATATGTTTCTTGCTGTCCTAATGAACATCTCGATACATCAATAAAACTGCGAGTCATTTTATGCTATGGTTCTTCCGTACCACGAAAAGATAAAATATTTTAATGATAAAATATTTTTTCGCAATCGCTATCTAATCATGAATTACCTTGACATCTTAACTAATCAATTTTATTTCCACTCATAAATTATTTTTTTTATCTACAATAAGTATAAATTACTTAGCTTTTGATGAAATCAAATGTAATGAATATTAAATTCTTCATGATATCATGGAAATTCCAATTTTTTTACATTATTAATGCCGCTTCCTTAGATAAGTTCATGAAACTTATCAATTTGCAACTAATTATATACATTTACATCATAATTTTTTATTGTTTATTGCTCAAATCTGACGCAGGCAATCATTTTTTGTCTGACAATTTTTATAATTCTCTCTTCCGGACTTCAGAGAAAAGTATATTTTTCCAAGGCTGTAGCAATTAAATGAACATTTAATTGAGACATTAACTGAAATTCCCGCAATTTTAAGAATTTTTACAAATTGCACAAAAATTTATAATAAATTTTATATAAATTTAATACACATACTGATTAATATAATAAAATATTAAAATACTTTTATTTTTTTTTAAATATTAATATAGTTAAATATTAAGATTAATATAATAAAATATTTTCATTCTTTTTTAAATATTCTTATAATATTGATATTATAATTAATAATTAATAATTTTGCAAAATTAAAAAAAAAGACATTGTAAATGTTATAAATACACATATATTTATATGTATACATACGTATATAAACTATAATTTTTATATGGTATTTATTAATCGGAATTAATATAATGTTTATCACTGCCATTATTGGAATATTAATTACTTATTTGTGTGTGCGCAAATATGTATATGTGTTACATTAATCATTATAATTTAATAATAAATATTTTATTATGTTATATTTATTTAACTTTTATTAAACTTTTTATATTTTGTAGATTTGTATGAATTTATATAAGAGAATATACGAAAATATTATATATTTCTGGGGTTCCAAAAAGAATAAAGGCGGCTCTGTTTTTTAACAGATATGATAATCTGTCCTTGTGTCCTTGTGATAACATGATTATAAAAGGCGATGCGCTTTAATTCAACCAGTCATGTCCAACTGACTAATTAGTGAGGTGTTGTAACAAGAATTTTATATATAAAATACGAAATTTATCTTTTCTTCACGTACGAATAAAATAAGTGGCAGGCGATGGAGGGTGAGTATCGTTAAATTTTTATAACGAACTTTTTATTATAAATTTATTATAAATCAATTTTTGTTATAAAAAAAACTACAGTAATAAAATTATCGAGAGAGTTTTATATTATATATCGTTTCGTAAATCTGAATTTACATACAAATAATCCATCATTTTTGTAACCATTGTAACAACGGTTGGCTAAATTTTGATTAGGACATTTTTTGTTCGATATAGGAATACACCTAATCGCCATCGCCTTTCTGGCATTCGGGACCGTGATTCCCGCAAATAAATTACCTTTTGAAGCTGAATACGAATGTCCATATCCAGACGCTTGTCCTACAAAATTAATACCTCACGAAAGGGATTGCGATAAGTATTATGAGTGCAGAGAAGGTCAGAGGGAATTGCGTTATTGCAACAGCGGTACTTACTTTAGCAAAAAATGGTATGGTTGCGTCGCACTGGAGATTTCGGATTGTTATTCCCGTCCGACCCCTCCGACTCCTTCGACTCCTCCGACCCCTCCGACCCCTCCAACCCCTCCGACTCCGCCTCCGATTCATTACAACTGCGAGATAAATGGCGAATTGGTGCCGCACGAATGTGTATGCACTAATTTCTACGAGTGCAAATATTATCGAAAAGCTCTACGTGAATGCCCGCGCGGCTTCTACTTTAACAAACCAACGAGGACTTGCGAACCTGGAAATTGCAACACGACTCCGACTTTGAATCCGCCCGCGTGCACGGAAGGCGAATTAATACCTCATGAGTGCCAATGCGAAAATTATTACTTGTGCAAGGGCGGTCGGAAGGCCTTGCGTAAGTGCCCTGAAGGACAGCTCTTCGACAGAAACTCGCGGACTTGCATTGTTACTAACGAATGCCCAGGGGAAAAACCAAAAAACTGCACAAACGGTGAAACGAAGAAACATGATTGTGACTGCGATAAGTATATAAAATGCATTAACGACGATTGGTGGTTAGAGGTTTGTCCAGACGGAGAACATTATAGCAAGAAGGAGAAAAAATGCGTGGATAAATATCGCGCCAACTGTGCAGCTGGTATATGCCCCCCAAATCCTCCTTCAAAATGGAATCACGAATGCGATTGTAGATTATTTTACACGTGCGTAAATGCAACGAAGCAAATAAACGAATGTAATTGGGGAAACTACTTCGATAAAATTAATCTAAAATGCGATGACGCGGCAAAGGTGAAGAAAGGCACAAACTGTACAAATTCGTGGGACACGTGGCTGCAGTAGATAATCGCATCGATTTTGAAAAAAGCATAAAAAAGTTAAGAATGACGAGGAGATATCTGAGAAGCAAATTACACGCTTGCTAAAACTATACTGCTATTTTTGTAGGAGTAGATAATTTTGATAAGATATTTTAATAAATCTGATAATCTGAGATTGTATTGAAACGTTAATTATTACTTTGATCACCTGATAGAGAGTATAGTATGGCAGATTACGAAAACATGATTTGTTATTTCCAATTCAAATAAAATATAACTTATGAAAATAAAAAGAGGCCTCGTTCTCTCTCTTTCACTTTCTCTTTCTCTCTCTTCTCTCTCTCCCTCCTTTCCTCACATATACACACGTGCGCGTGCGTATATGTGTGTGTGCATGCGAAGCACGCACTATGTTATTACTTGAGATTAAAATCACATATTTTAAAAATTATCAATAAACATTTTCTCTCTTCCAACATCAGTCACTCTCACTATTCGTAAAATATATTTTAATATTTTATAATACATGTGTAAATATCTACGAAAAAAATAAAGAGAGCTGGAATGATGAGAAACGTATAGAGGAACATTTCAATACTTCTATAGTATATTAGTAATCTAGGATCAAAACCTATCAAATAGCGAGAAGAAATCTTGATATTTCGAGAGCTGGTAAACAGAATAAATATGGAAGGAATTTTCTATAATGAAACACATGTTCTCCACAATTTCTGACATTTATCAGCAGGTATGATATAACAGTTTTATCTTCGATCACTTTGAATCAACGTCTTCAACGAGACTTTTTTTCTTTTGGTACAATACACAAAATTAAATTATCTATTAATTGTATTTACAATCACTGTAATGACTTTACCGAGTAAGCAAACCAGTTAGCAAATTTTGTTAACGAAAAGTAACACAACTTTACATAAGGTATTTTTACTTTAAAAAGTTATATTCTCACCTATCGTAAAATTGTTTACGTAATAATAAAAAAAAAGGAATTTATTGTATATCACAAATGGATCTAATCGTGTTGTGTACGTGGGAAGTATTTTGATAAGAACATATTTTTAATTCTTCGTATTTCTTATATATAATACATCTTATATATGTAAAATACGTCATTATTACTATTTTATATATAATACATTTATGTGAAAATTTCGATAATAAAATTCGATCAAAGTGAGATTGGATTATTATAAATTGCGTTACATTTATTAATTTAAAAGCGCGGAACAATTTTTGTATTAATTAAATCTGTGTCAGTAAAGATTGCATTCGAAGCTTATTTATTGCTTTTAACAATAAAGTTAATAAACTAAAGTGTATAAATTATCTTAAAACAATCATATTAAATAAATCCAATTAACATAAACTGTATAAAATTATGACAAAAATAATTTATAAAAAAATCCAGAAGATATTTTAAGCGCAAAATTAATTTGTCGTTATATATATGATTTAAAAATAAATACTTTCTAGTTATAAAGATATTAAAATCGTACAAAATTTAAAAGGATTGAAAATTGAAAATTTTAGATTAATTGGAGATTACAGAGTCAAATCGAGATATGCAGCTGAGATCAAGAGGAAATCATGAATGAAACTTTCAAAATAGTGGGCGCGGGCAAGTGGACAAGGTATCAGTGGACATATTATCCACTGAATAGAACATCATTTTAGCAAAATGGGAGATAAGTATGAAGATAATAATGAGAAAAACAAGATATATAAACAATTAGGAGATACAAATCGGATACAATAAAACAATAAATGATTTCATAATACTAGAAAATTGTAGATAAGATTTTTATAAGTTTAAAACTTAATTATTTAACAGTAAAATATTATATATATTAGTTATATAATATGTATAAAAAAAATTAAAAATAACTTAAATTATATTTATTATGTACATATTCATTAATTGCTATATGTATATTAAATTATTATATACATTTCTTTTTCATTATTATTCCTTATCTCTCTCAAATCTGATTCAAATTGCTGTGTTATATTTTTCATGATTTATATTGTAAGAAATAGCTCGCTAAGAATTCGCGTAACAATGGCAATTACATATATCGCAGTAGAAATTAATTAATCTTCATTATTCATCGTATTCATACATAAACTTTATAAGTATCGACTGGCAATATGCTAGTTTTTATATAAAAGCAGTGTCCAAAGGCGGTTAGAGAGAGAGAAATATACTTTTTAATAGTTTTTCTTTCTCAAGGTGTCCGGAAATGTATGTACGTTGCGCATGTCAATGAAACATATGGCGCGTTGATCACGTACTATGACGCAACCAGCAAGCATAATGTATGCGCCAATCAGGATACAGCCAGTGTATAATATATGTCAGCAAAACGTACTTCCGGACACTTTTTAAAAAATATATACAGACACGATCTTGCTTAAGGTCCATAAATGGACCTTAAGCCCATGGCACATAGAAAAACGTAAAGCAGTAAAACGTAAGCAGTAAAGCCCGTATTAGACTAAAGATTGAGATTGAGATTGAATTGGAATTTGACCAATCAAAACAAAGTTTACTAATTTTGAAATTGGTTTTCTTTCTTCTATTAATTGGTTAAATCCCAATTCAATCTCAATCTCAATCTTTAGTCTAATACGGACTTTACTGCTTACGTTTTATTGATTACTTTTAGTCTGATACGGGCTTAAGCAAATCGGCCAATCACATTAGAAAATGTAAAGTAATAATCTTACGTTCTCTACTGCGATTGGCCAATTCACTTATTGCTTACATCTTACTGCTTTACGTTTTCCTTTGTGCCATTGGCTTTATATTGGCTGCGGTCCGCTTGATGCTGCAAATGCTTCGAAGCATTTTTCAATTGGTTAATTAGTAAAAATTCTTTCTTTTGATTGGTCAATCAAATGCTTCGAAGCATTTGTAGCGTCAAGT